AGAGAGAGAGAGAGAGAGAGAGAGAGAGAGAGAGAGAGAGAGAGAGAGAGAGAGAGAGAGAGAGAGAGAGAGAGAGAGAGATGGTCATTTGCGATGTTGGCATATAGCAACTTAGTGGGGAGCAGTGAGCTGATATTATTTGTGATTTAACATATCGGCGTACATATGTTTTTTTTTTTAAGTATGGGCCTGTAGAAGGATGAGGAAAGATTAGGCCGTACTGTGACTGTTATTTTTGTTTTGTTATTCTGCTCAAGTTTTCTTGAGATGCTCTATCACCTCTCCCACTCCGGTGTGCTGTGTCCGTCTTTCGGTGTTTTTACCCCAGTTCATCTCTCGGAGACTCTCCCTTGTCTATCAATGAGGAGTGGGGAGCGTGGCGAGTTTACGCAGTCCGCTGGCATAGTTCTTGGTATGTGCGAACCTGGGGAAAATGCAGAATAAAGTCAAACAGTATTAGGAAACCTAGAGTCTCGATGATTGCACTGTGCACCCCTCGCGAGCCTTCGGGGAAATATATGCACTGCGTGATCCTTGTTTATCATTCGTGCTGCACGCGTATGCGTTAGGTCTTGCCTGTCTTGTTCTGTGGATGACCATCCTCTCCTTAAATCATTGATCAACCCGACTGTTTGTCCAGCTCTGTGTTTTGGCTTTTTGTTTGTGTTTTGTAATTTTGAACCTCCCCGTAGCGTGATCGATGTTGCAAACTGCTTTTTCCAATGTGTATTTCGGGACAGCTTGTGCGATAAACATTCATGTCAATCCTGCGTTAACTTAAAGGCACCCGTTTCTGACCCTTGATTGATTGCTAGCAGTCGATGCTACCCCTTCTGCTGCTCCACCGTCCACTCCTCGATTGCTGGCAGTAGTGTGTGCCCATTCCTCTGCTCCCGCCTCTGCTCCTGTTTCTGAGGACGATGATGCAGTTTTGCAGTTTTCTCTCTCTCTCTCTCTTATATCTTATTGTGGAACAGCATGTGAGACAAACAGACTGATAGGCCGCTTGTTTGAAGCTTTTGATTGCTAGCAGCCGTGTTTTACTCCTGTTGATACTCCTGCGGCTGAAAATGATGACGTCATCTTTAATTGTCAACTGCTTTCCCCTAATGTTGTGTTCCGAAATAGCATGAGACAATTAATGATGACGTCATCTTTAATTGTCAACATATGTGGTGATCTTCTGATGGGCCACTCTGTAGATAAGTGCTATAGCTTTTTAAGTTTTTATCGAACGCCTAAGATTTCTGGAAAAACAGAAACTTAAAAAAAAGCAAAAAAAGGGGGGCAACGGCCTTGAGATCATCGAACGAACCAGCCCTAGGTAATTCAGAGTTGGTAGTATTTCAGTCATTTGCTTCTAGTGGAGATCGAACCCGGGTCTGTAGTTCAAGAGTTGGGTGGTGTACCAACTGAGCTATGCCAGTTGGTGAAAGAAAAAAAACAGAAACATTTGGTTTCCATAAGTTTCGCTGTTATTCGTTTCAAGCTGCGACTGCTAGCATTCGTGTTTTGCTCCTGCTACAGGGGATGAAGATGCACTATCTACTAATTACTATATTTAGTCGTTTTGAGCTTATGCAAGGACATGCACAAGTTCGGTGATTTGGCTACTTTCATTTTGCTACTGTGATTTTGTTGCCACTCGATTCTGCTGAAAAATGCTCAGCGACGCCTAGACACACCACCCCACCCCAAGCTTGCGAAATATGTGATCCCACGAAAGCAGTTCTTCTAGAGATAGTCATCAGATGAACCTTTACGGCTGCACTGGCTGAGCTATGGTAGTAATGCTTTAGGGCCTGGATGAACTCCCTCATTCTAGCTTTTTTCCAATTCTCTGCTGCAGCCTTCTTGCAAATGCGCTTCCTTGGCGATGCACATGGACTGGTGTCTTCTGTGCGAAAGGGGCAGTGTGCTGGCTTGATTCCAGGGTACATATCAGGAGAGCTCGTCTGGGCGACTGATGGAGGACCAACCAAGAGACCAGAAGAGCTATGGATTTTGTAATTGTGGAACAAAATCGAATCCTCTCATCGTAAGTGCAGACTCACTAGATTCAGATTATTATTTGATTAAAAGTAATTGATTAATTTAATCAATAAGTTCAAGGTTGATACCCGATAACGCAAATTTAGGCTTTCGTTTTCCATGTGATGGACCGGGAAGAGGTGGTACTTGCCAAGTATCGGCTTGGGATCATATATTTTTAGGACATTTTTTTTGCTAAAACTGTACTGCTACCATCTTCACCCGAATAGAACGCCCGGTCATTATTGCTGCCTCTGGAATGACAGCTACTCCAAAAAGTACATCCGGGAGTTGTATTCGGGTGAAGACGGTAGGACAATGTAGACAAAAGATACACCATTCATAGACAAAAGATACACCATTCACAATTTGTGGCAGAAGCCGCAGAAGTTAAAAATACATAGTAATTAGGCCTCTTGACTTATGGTGCGCCTTTCATTTCAGGGAATGGCAATCTCTCACCTTGCCTACCAATAAGTGTGAATCAACATCCAGTGTCCTGGGGACATCGGTTAAATTTGGAATGATACTGAGAAGATAAGCAAGGTCCCTGCCCAAGGATGACACACATAAAATTAGAAATCAAAGGAACCAACACCCAGTGCAAGAATCCATTCGCCGCACAGTACACAGCACATTTTCATGCCATATACTCCATGTCAACTGGACACATCCTGATTTGTATATAAGGAATGAAGAAATCCTGGAAGAGGGAACAGCACCTGGAAGGGTTTTAAAAGCTGAAATTGCTGCTAAATGTGAGTATCATCTACAGTGCAGCAGCCCTGATGTCCAAATCTGTTCTTGTCACCTCCAGCTGCTGGCTGTTCCTCAATATTTTAGATCCGTAACTCAGCTATCCTTCCTTTGTCCCAGGCTTGTTGTGGCTGAATGGGCTCTGCAGCTTGCAAGCTAAATGGCACAAGTCTCTCTCTCTCTCTCTCTCTCTCTCTCTCTCTCTCTCTCTCTCTCTCTCTCTCTCTCTCTCTCT